TTTGTCTCCCAGTGATAGGTAACGGTATGCTATGGTTGTCGTGGTGCCCAAAGATAAATTATATTCTGTAAAGAAAGTAGGCTATTTAAGAGGCGGGACCTCCAAATTTAAGTTCGTCCCCGAAAGAAAGGCCCGAGCTCAATGGGCGGATAGCCTGAAAAACTCTTCAAAACGACCCGAGTTCAAGAACGCTTGTGGGTGGTTGGCGGGTGCTCTGGTATGGTTTGCCTCTTCTTTTCTATCAAACATTTAACGTCTTTATCTACCCTCCTTCTTTTTGTGTTTGTTACTGTTATTCTCTTGCAACACCTCTAATCTTCGGCACTTACATAACCGCATTGTGTTACAAGTGCTGTAAAACAATGACTAAAACACGAACGCTCAGTCTGAGAGTCGAACTTGGTCCTTCCACTTGGTAGTCCAGCCTGATACCAACTGAGCCAACGAAGTGCCCAACACAAAAACTTGGGCTGCTGCAAACCGCACGAACTTTCCTTTAATCAAGAAACTTCTATTAGTACTTTGATGTCGCTATAGTAAAACATGTTTTTTCAAAATTCCGGAAAATAATAATTCAAGGTCAAGCGATAGAGGCCTAGCTGCATTCAGGAGTTAAATTTTAAAAAAATCATGTTATCTCTGAACACTAAAGAAAAATAGGTCTGCAGTTTTAAGATGAAATTATAGAAAGATCTCATTGGTTTACTTTCCTCTAGGTCTGCAGATTTAAAATAAATTATAGAACGATCGCATTAATTTTCTTTCCTAAAATTGTAAAAATATCGTGTTTTTTTTCGCTGGCAGCTTTCCATGTTTTCAACCACGGCTGAGTGAGCAGACGTGGAGATTCTCATCTCATTGATGTGGCGCGCGCTCTGTGCGTGTCGTCTGCTGCTGGCCCGCCCCGCCACGGGAGAGAGGCAAAGATAGTGAGTGTCCATTGCGTCGCCTCTTTTCCTTAATGGCTCCTTTTTCATTGTTTGTTTGTGTTTTTTTGTTTTAGTTTTATTTTGTTGTTGTTGTTGTTGTTGTTGTTATTGTTGTTGCTGTTCTTGTTGTTGTTGTTGTTGTTCTTGTTGCTGTTGTCCGGTAGAATGGCCGATATATTTTGTGTGTGTTAGCCTTAAAATTAGTTTTCACAGTTCGTGATAAGTACAGGTTCTTGCTTCTCTGTATTGTCCCTTGTTCCAATTTGTCACCGAATGTGGGTAAGTTACAACAATTTCATATAACTGTGTTAGGAAAAAACAAGGAGTAAACCACAGCAGAACACCCACCAGCCAGTGATTACCGTGTGGTCATACATTCGTGCCTCAACTTCTCCTCAAACATCTCTTTACCAGGTGAATCAATCAATGTCCCCCATACTTTTCACATCAGTTTGTATCAGTTTGTCTGCAGACCAAAGGGCTAGAACCCAAATGGCCGCTGGATCGGAAAAATAAAGTAAGTATCAGTTTGTCTTAGCTTGATCATATTTTTCCACAACAATT